TGACATTCATATTAAACTTTCAAATAGTTAAATTAAATTTGGTTTTATTAAGTATTTATGCATTTATTTTATTATTTAATAATTTATTCATTATTCTTTTTTTTTTTAATTGTATTTATCATTTTTAATAAAATTCACTTACATTGTTCAATGCAACAACAAAAAAAATCTAAACGAGTATTAAAACAAAAAATATAAATTAGAAGTGAAGATGCTTCAATGGCATGTTTTTCCCTGTTTCTGCTTTCTCTTGTGATACGGCACGAGGGTCAGAGTTCATCACGGGCCATAAAAAGGACCATTATATATGTATATTTAAAATAATCCCCCTGCCCACCTCATCAAAATGCTGATTTATGATTTATGGGAACAGTAGATGACAGGTGAACTCTTGTTTCATCTAAACTTCTTGATTGGATTGTAAGAGGCTTGTGTTCGGGACAGCAGATGTGAAACAGACACTCAATCACTAACCTCAGCTGGTTTCTGCATTATTTCTGCATTACTAAAACAAACAGAACACTGTTGTGCAGCTGCTGCCACTGGATCAACTCTTCAGAGAGAGGAACTGACCGACATCAGTGCTTTTCTGCCTTTAAAGCAGTGCATTAAAGGAGTGAAGGGATGACAAGATATTTGATTTAGGATATTTGATGCAGGATTTGTTACAATCAGCGATCGACACAAGACTGTAGCACAGTTTAATATTTCAGCAAACCGAGAAGACTCTGGAGACGCACTCACGTCTCTGATAATGTGCCGCAGAGACTGGTCCTCGCTCATCCCTCGGGACAGCGTCAGCGAGCCCGCTTTCTCAAGCTTGCCCGAATGCATCTTCCCATATGTAAGGGCTCTTGAAAAGCTCCAGAGAGAACGTCAGAGCACTGCTCTGAGAGCAGCCCGTGTCTCGTGAGTGTTTCTCTACCGGAGCGCACCGAGTCGTTCAGGGCCGTTCTGCTGCGCGGTGGGCGGGGCGTGGAGGCTCTCGAGTGGGCGGGGCTTTCACTCAGTGTGTTTATCTACTGACGTCAGTATTCCATACCAGAGGAATCCGTGCATTGACATGCAGCAATATCTGTTGAATAATCTGTCATTTCATCTGAATATCAACATTTGTGAGATTTAGTTAGTCAAAGCATTTTTGTGATTGACTGATCAAATGTTGTGTCTGAAAGAATGCTCTATTGGTTTGTGTGTGTGTCTATTTTGTTAAAGCGTTCACTGCACACGGTTGCGGTTCAGCAGTGTGTTCAGGAGCGGTGCGTCTGCAGCAG